ACCTTACTTAGAGACCTTAAAATAGTCATATTGGGAGGTATTGGAAGTTATGATTTCATCCTATGAATTTTGTAGGGACCTTAAGTCACCTTTACACTCCCCTTTATCTTCACAGTAATCACACTGAACTATTTAACACATTCAGTGTTCCTTTAGGGCTGCATACTTTGGCACACTTGTTGCTTCTCCTTATTATACTAAATATATACTACGTTTTTAATGTAATACTTCTTTTTGGGGAGCAGTGAAGAAAAAGCAGAGCTTGCTCTTTCTACCTATGCAGTAATACTTTCTTCATTCTTAATGCTGTGTTACATCTAAAAATTCTTTAATTTTTTTCTCTCTTGTATGTTAGCCATACTTTAAGTGTGCTTTGGATGGATGGTTGATGAGGTGTTCTAGGTAAGATTAGAGGAAAGACAGGTCTAGCTGTATTATAAGCTGTTGTGCAATGAGTACTATGAAAGTATAAATGAAATAACTGTAGCATAAAAAGGACAAATTAGTTTGTATGTGCTTTGGCATATTTAAGGGAAGATTCATAAAAGTGATGGTATGTGAGTGTGTTTGAGAAATACACAGTGATTTATGCAGAAACACTTGGAAAGTAACAGGACCAAACCAATAGGCAGAAGCAATATGTATATGGACATGGTTTTCGTTTTTGGTTGGAATGTAGCATTTATAGGATGACTAAGATAAAATTTTAAAAAAGTATAATAGAGTTTTACACCTGCTGTAATAATTTTTTAGAAACTTAATGGCTTTTAAAAAAACTCACCCATTTCTTATCTTAAAATTTTGGAAGTTTGAAGTTCAAAATAGGTCTCAGAAGACTATGGATGTTGGCAGGGCTGAATTCTTTTCTGGAGGCTCTGGAGGAAAATCTTGTTTTCTGCCCTCTTTTGTCTTCTAAAAGCTTTCCTGAATTCCTTGGTTCGTGGCTCCCTTCTGTCTGTAAAGCCAGCAGTGTCCAGTGACGTCATTATCGTATCACATGACCTCAATGCACTGATCATTCTGCTTCTGAGCTTTCACTTTTTGAAAATTTTCTTTATTTTTAAAGAATGTAAAATAGAGATATAGAGAAAAAAGTGTTAGAAACGATACAAGATTTCACTAAACAAAGTAGTAAGAGTTTGACAATGGTTGCTGTATTATATGAGCTCTTTCACTTTTTAAAAAAATGTATTTAGTACATGGGTCTACAGGGTCTCACTACATAGATTGGATGAATCATTTTCAAAAAATGAAATGAAGAAAATTTCACTTAAAATAGCATCAAAAAGAATAAAATACTTACGAATAAATTTAATGAAAAAAGTATAAAACTTAAACTTTGAGAATTATAAAACAAAGAATACCTAAATAAATAGAAGGACATCCTATATTGAGTTCATGGAAAACCTGACTATTGTTAGGATTTTTTCAACATTGGGTACCACTTTCAGTGCAGTCTCTATTGCCTTTTTTTTTGTAGAAATTCACTAGTTGATCTTCACATGCCTATGAAAATGCAGAAGGTCCCAAAGTGCCAAAATAGTTTTGAAAAAGAACAAAGATTACTCAAACTTCCAGATTTCAAACTTAATATAAATCATATTGCATTGGCATAGTTGAGATAAATAGAAGACTTTTGTTTGTGAAGCTCTTGAGGTATTCTAAGCTGTTAGTACTAGGCTAGCCTAGACTTAAAAATTTGATAAGTCTTTAGCTGACATAGTCTAGCCCACTTTAGTAGTACTTATTTCTTCTAGTCTGCCAGCAGGTCGGGGTTTTTTTAATGTAAGGGAAAGTATTGTTCTTTTTTAAATTGTACTTTTTAAAAAGAATAAAAATAGTTAAAAAAAAAAGCATTAGAAACAATGCAGAATTGTCTAAACAGAAGGACAGGAATTCAACAGTGGTTGCTATATTGCAAATTGTCTTCAAATTAGTTGTTCAGATTAGCAGGTATAAGAATGCAAAATTGGTAAAAAAAAATTTAAGCATTAACTGTTCCCTTCACGGTCAGTAGAAATCAGCAGTACAGTTATCCAAGCTATCCTGTGTATATACGTACATATTTTTCCATTCTTCTTTCCTCCTTTCCCACACCCTAGTTGATCCTGACTTTTGGACAGTTTCTTTCCCTTTTGTAGTATCTGTTGTACCTTTCATATTTCATTCATTCTCTCAGGTTCTTACGCTGGGGAGACAATATGATAGTTACACACGCATGTCTGATTTATTTCACTTAAGAGTACGGTCTTTATTCACATCCATTTACCTATAAAAGCCTTTATAAAAGTTGATCTTTTTTTACAGCTGAGTATAAAAATACATTTATAAAAATACATTTTTCCATTTTATAAAAATACATCTTTTTTATCCATTCCTTAATTGATGGGCATTTGGGTTGCTTCCAAGGGTTAGCTATGATAAGTTATAGAAACGCGGGTGCACATATATTGCTGTAGTATGAAAATACACAGGAGAAGAGCTGGGTTGAATGGGACCTCAGATCGTAGGGGTGTGTGTGTGTGTGTGTGTGTGTGTGTGTGTGCGGGGAATCAGCCTCGGTTCCATGCATTTGCCAGGCCGGCGCTTAGACTGCTGAGCTATCTCCCCAGTCCCATAACCCTACTTTTTTGAGCAAAAGGATTGTTTACATGTTCTATTTCTCTTCAGGGGGAACTTGTCATTCTATGGCTTTTTGTTGCCATGGTTGTTTTGCAAACAGCTTTTTTAGGAATATAACAAAAAATATGATTTCATAGATCAGCTGGTTTTTCCTCTTGTTGTGATGGAAAGAACAGTCTCTGTTTTCTTCATACTAAGTGAAGTGAACTAATGTGCTGTGTGGTATGTAATATAGTTAGCCTTTTAAGTTTGTTTCAATATTTTGAATACTTATATACCAAGTAGTATGCTACCATATCGTCTCATTTAGTCTGTATGCTTGTTTATGAAGTTTAGGCACTATTATTATTCCCCGTTTTTTTGTTTTTTGTGGCAGAACTGGGGATTGAATTCAGGCCCTTGCACTTGCCAGGGAAGCGCTTATTCCACTGACCCATCTCCCTGGCCCCTATTATCTCCATTTCTTAAGATGTAAAACTGTTGCTTAGTGGAGAAAAAGAATTAAAAGCACAGGAATAAACAAATATTTTATTGCTATTACCGAAGTCACTTTCTTCCTGTTTCCTTTCCCAGTAAAACAGTTAAGTCCATTTTTCTCCAAGGAGAGAGGGGAGGTATCTTGGCATTTCAAGTCTTCAGTTTTCTTATTTGACAAGAAAAGAGGCGCGCTAGTATGAAAACTTGAAGGAACCTCATCGGACTTTTGTGTAAGGGAGAGGATACCTTAAGGATGTGGTAGCTTTGGGTGATCAGTACTGTAGGAATGATGGTCATCCTGGTTGTGCCTCCTCCTTCTCTTTCACTTGCTTCCAGTTTGAAATAGATGATAGCCTTCAGTGTGTATCTATATGCTTATTTTAAGTGAAGGATTTTTTAATTTTTTTTTATTTTTTTAATTTGGCTGGCTCAGGCTGCCTTAACGGTGGGTCTGGTAGGGCATGGGGAGCTGGGGATCGAACCGCAGTTCCCTACGCCTGACTGGGTTTGCCCCAGTAGACGCTTAAACAACTGAGCTAACCTGCAAACCCCCAAAATTGAGAAGGAATTTTTTTTTTTTTTGGCTTGTGTTAAAGTGAGATAGTTTGAATTTAAATTATTTTTCATTAACATTAATTCTTTCACTATCTTCTTTTTTTTTTTTTAAAGTTTTATTGATAAACAGATAGCAATGAGCCAGTTTCAAATCCAATCGGAAGTACAGTTTCAACAAATAATACACTGCATATATTCTTCTTAGTGGTTAATTGCTGTACAAGAAGTGGACTTGTGAAGCTATTTACAAACACCATTAGAACAAATCATTCTATTCATTAAGAGAATGCAACTATATATCTATCCTAACCACTTGCAATACACAAATACAAAATGGACATTCATCGGTATACCCCATTTTTTCTAAGTTCCATTATTGAATATTATAGGTATGTAAACTCAGCAAAATATTCTCAAAGAGTCCAGTAGCCCATAATAGCATTGGGTCTTCTGTTTAACTGGCAATGTCAGAAATTATTGACCTGAGTCCCCCACAGCTCAACATAACAGCATGGCTTTATTTCCTATATTTCGTCTTCATACTTTTCTACTGGATGGTTTCTTTCACTATCTTCTAATGTTGGGATTCCTTTCAGTAACTCATTGTAGAGAGTGTGTATAGTTATTTGTACTATATACATTTGTCTAAACAATTTTTTTTGGCTCTCCACCTTTTTAATGCATTCAATAAAAGGTGAACTAAAAACCTTCTGAAAACTTTGGCTTATTTTTGTTTACAGTGTTTGTAGAAAAGAAACAGCAGTGAGCAAACAAATAATAATCCATTGCTTTAGCTGTCTCATATTCAGTTTCTAGATGCACCATTTGGAATTCACCCTATCCTACGTTGAATAGTCTCCTTTTTTGCCCCTCTCCACCCTTCTATTCCTTGCTTTCCTTTTCCTTCCCTTCTCCCTTCCCTCTTTCTTCTTCCTTTTCATCTTCCCTTCCCTCTTTCCCTTCTTTCCTCCCTGCCCTGTCCCTCTCCTTCCCATTCCCTTTCTCGGTGATGCAAGGATTCAGCCCAGTCTTCACACATGCTAGGCAAGCACATTGCCATGAACTTGCATAAGTAGTCTCTCATCAGTCTGTCCTTTCTTACTGGTTGCTAGGTACAAGTTCAGTTTCAGGAATTTCCTATCAGCTGAAATTTCATCATCTCAGTTCTACATGTGTAAAATATAAACTAAATAGCAAACACTGGTCATTGTAACTTCCTGAGCAACATTAATACAGCCAATATCAAATTCAGAACATAGAGGGAATGGATTGTTTATATATGTGAGGATATTTTGTAGTGCTTTAATTTACTGATAACAGTTACTTATGTGCTTCTTCCTCCATAGTTATCAGGGAATATAAAGAACAAAGAAAGTATCCAGGAACCTAGATTTGATTATTACAACCACAAAGTTCCCGATATTGACCTCAGTGAATGTGAGTTCCCACATGTCATTGAAATTTATGACTTCCCCCAAGAATTTCGTACAGAAGACCTTCTACGGGTTTTCTGCAGTTACCAGTAAGTATTTATAAGTAACTACAGATACTAGGAAAGGTACAATGAAGTCTTCCTAATAACATCATCTGAGTAATCACTTTTTGTTTTCATACATTTTGATATTGTCTGTTGTTTAACATCAAGTGTATTGTCTAGTCCAAGTTCATTAGAAATCTTCAGCATCAAACTATTCTTCTGAATTAATTAAAAATGTTGCATAGACTTTGTAGACCTCATTGTAGCTTTTAAGAAGACTGTCATCAGTGATAATATCTGAATCTGTTTGCATGGTACATTTAGTGCATTTATGTTTATTGTCATTATTCATATATTTGGATTAACAGCCCAATACATATTTTTGTGTTGACCTTCTATCATCTTTGTGTGTGTTTACATGTCCTTTTTCTTTTCTCTAGCCTTATTTCGGATTTACTAGGTATTTATTGAAGAAATGATGTTTTAAAATTCATTTGATGTTTAGCTATTCACTGTTTAGGTTTATCCATTTTCTGTACTTTATTCATCCCTCTCCCCCCTTTGGTGTTACTGGGAATCATTTATACCTTTTTTTCTAAATTTTTTGTTTTGGTACCAGAAATTGAACTCATGACCTCCTACTTGCCAAGCAGGTACTGTGCCACTGAACTGTATCCCTGGCCTACTTATACCATTCCTGCATCTTATTCCTACTATTTGAAATCTTTTTCATCTTGTATGGGATGTACTTTTTGGAATTTAACTTAGACACCATGTGCCTAAAACTCAGTTTTGTTCTAATGGCTTTATTTCAGCTACATTGTTGAGTGACATTCTTGCTGGGTATAAAATTCTACATTAAGCTGGCATGCTGGCATATGCATGTAATCCCTACATTTGGGGTACTGAGACAGGTGGTTTGCTGCAAGTTAAAACCAACCTGACCTACATAGTGAGTTCAAGGCCAACCTGAACTGCACAACAAGACCGTATCTTAAAAAAACAAACCAACCAAACTCTACACTGGCAGATACTTTTTTCTCAGAAGCTTGAAGATATTCTGTTTTCTTATTCTCTTTTAATTATGTCACCTGACAGTCTGACAGGTTGTCACTTCTGATTATAATTTGTCTTTTTGGATGGTATAGTATATTGGCCAGGGGTTTCTCTAAAGGAACAGAGCTAATACAATACATACATACACACGTATATATATATGTACATATACATATGTACATAGATGCATAGGTATATATGTACATATATACATAGTATATGTACATAGATACATAGGTGTGCATATATATGCATACACATATATAAAGTATTGATTGAAAATACAGTGAATATTTACATTTAAAATATTTTTATTATAGTGAAAGACATTACCATTAATCTCTCTCAAAAATATTTATCCTTGTCTCAAACATATTTATTATTATTGCCTCTTTCAGAAGCAGTTTTAGAAGTCTTCTTTTGTATTTTTGCCAAGTGTGATAAAATATATGCAGTGAATGCTACTGCCGAGTGCCAGCCAGCAGAAAGGCAGGCTCATAAAAACATGGTGAATCCTCATCCACTTACTCACTAGATCTGGCATCATATGACTTCTGGCTCTTTCCAGATGTCAAAATGAATGAAAAGTCAAACATTTTCAGTTGATTCAAAACATTGAAGCAGCCATGCCAGCTCAAATAGAGACTCATGAGAGAAGTCTTCCAGAACTGCTTAAGAAAGTGGCAGTGAAGACAAGATAAGTATTTGAATTTGGGAGTGGGAGGGATTCATGGCATTTTGTTTTTTACTGTAATAATTATTTAAAACAAGTATTTGCCAGATTTTTTAATCACACACTGTGTGTGTGTGTGTGTGTGTGTGTGTGTGTCTGTCTGTCTGTCTGTCTGTCTGTCTGTCTGTCTGTGTGTTATGAAGGAGGATCAGAGACTCGATAGTCCACAGTGAGGAGATGCTGATTAGCCAGAGGAGCTAGTAGCCTGGCTAGTTCAAGGAGCTGTTAACCTGAGTGAGAGGATTTAGTAATGAAGCCTCAGCCCAAGACTCAAGGCCTGGAAGCTCCCATTAAGAGTTGCTGTTGTGAGTGCACTCAGAGAGGCTGAAGTCAGCAGGCAGTGCTTCTGAAGAGTCAGTCTTGCACATGTTGGCCTGTTCTGTCCGGGTTTCCAGCCTGTTGTATTTTATTGCACACATTTGGAGAAGGCATCCCCCTCAGTTCACTGACCCACATGCTAATTGTCTCTGAAATTAGGTGTGCCTTCAGAGGCACCCCCAGAAATGTGTGTTATTAATTTCCTAGGCATCTCACATTCTGCTTAAATAGACAGTCAAGATTAACTGTCACAGCTCTTGAGAATTTCTCTGTTTAGTCTTACTCATTTTCACTATGATGTGGGCTTTGCGGATTTTTCTTTTCCTTTTATTCCTGATTAACATTATCCAGGTTTACAAAATCAGTGGTTGTGTGTTTTTCATTAATTTTGGAGAACTCTTAGACATCAACTCTTCAAATTACGCTTAGCTGCATGTTAGTTATGGCAGTTAATATCTGCCATGAACCTTACTCTAATTGTGTAGTATAGGTCAGGCACTCTAATTTATTATAGTTATGATAAGACCCAGTATCAGGGCTTGTTCAATATAAAGTTTACAGTAGATCTTTAAAATCAGTGGAGTTAAATTCCAAATTAGAACTACCTTTGTCATAAATAGTGACAATTTATAAAACCAAGGATCATTTTGTTGATGTCTAAAATTTTCTCAAGAATGATTCTTACGAATTATTACTTCTCTTAGCTTTCTTTCTCCAGAATCTTACCTGCAAGACCATTTTTCTTTCAAATCCAAAAACGATTTCAAGGGCTGGAGAGATGGCTCAGTGGTCTAAAGCACCTACTTAGAACAAGCTTAGCAAAAACATCAGGGACCGTGGTTCAATCCCCCAGCACCACATGCCAGCCAGCCCTGCCCCCTGGTGGGCTGAGCTGGCCTCTCTCTCTCTCTCTCTCTCTCTCTCTCTCTCTCTCTCTCTCTCAAATAAATTAAAAAAAAAAAAAAACGATTTCAAAAGATGGGAATTTTAAAAGATTACGAAATTCCAAAGTCTAAAAATCCCTTCAGAAATAATCTAGGTCTTTCCCCGCCCATTTTGTAAATTGCCCTGTAGTATAGATTCGTGCTGCTGAATTTTTTCTGTTGTTAACCTCTATGATCATTTTCCGCTTTGGTCAATCTTATGCTTCAGGCAATTCTCTGACTTTCAAAACCTACTTTATTCCTTTTTCCCTCAAAGGAGTTTTTAAAATTTATTATTAAATAGGGGTAGTATTTTAGCAGTTGTCTTTAGTTTTTTTATATCTTCTTATTTATTTGGTATGGAGCCTTGCTACACAGCTCAGACTCACAGTAATCCTCCTGTCTCAGCCTCCCCAGTGCTGGGATTACAAGTGTACAGCATGGCATATGGTACCGGAGATCGAACTCGGGTCCTTGCACTTGCCATGCAGGTGCTTAGACCTAAGCCAAGCTATCTCCCCAGCTGCCTTTTTTTTTTTTTTATAATGATTCATAAATTTTTTTTTTAAAAAAGATCATTGTGCAAAACCTTAGAATTATGCTTATTAGTCTGTAACCCGTCAAACCATGTTTTCATTACTATCTTCATTACTTTTAATAAATTTCCTGATATACATTGCTTTTAATACAAATGAACACCATCATTTATAATATGCCTACTGAGCACTCAGCACCATGTTCTTGGCCTTTTTTCCCCCATAATTTTATTGAGAAACAAATAGCAATGAGACAGTTGCAAATCAAATTGGTAGGACAGTTCCAATAATTAACACATTGCATACTCTCCTCCTAGTGGTTATTTGCTATACAAGATGCAGATATGATATCCTATTTGCAAACACTATTAGAACAAATCCCTCTATTCATTAATAGAATGTAACTATATATCTATCCTAACCATTTTGAATACACAGATACAAAATGGACATTCATCTGTATCCCCTTTTTTGTTTAGTTCCGTTATTTGAATATTATAGGTGTGTTAACTCAGCAATATAGTCTAAAAGAGTCCAGTAGTCCATAATAGTATTGGGTCTTCCGCTTGACTGTCAGTGTCAGAAATTGTTGACCTGAGTCCCCTACAGCTCAACATAATACCATGGCTTTACTTCTTATACTTTGTTTTTATACTTTTTTGCTGGATGGTTAAGACCAAGATAAAGCAAGACCTGTGCAACAAAAGTTGTAGCTTTTGGGTCTGATAAGGTCAGTGAAATCCCCTCAGGATTTATCCTGAGATCCTGTACCTCAGATTGTAGATCCTTTGTCAGTGTCAGCCATGCGGATGAGTCACGGCCATTGCTTGGCCAATGTGCTCTCTGTGAAAGCCTGAGAGCATGTTTTCTCTCCATGTGACTCTCCTTAGGCACACACTACATCATCGATCACTTTCCTCTTTGGCCCCATAATCTCCTTGATCAGAAAATTTGGGACACTACCGAGTTACATGACGTTACAGTACAAGTTCTCATATGTCCTGAGTCTTAATTGACCTTGGAAGGCTAGGGCCAAAATGTTGGCTTTCCTTGTGGCCCTCCTTTTTCTCTTAATTTTGGTCTGCAAACTTAGGTTGTTAACCCTCCAGAAGAGCAGCTTATTGTTACAGCCACACAATCTAGGCTGTTAAGCTTACCTTCACTATCTGTCTAAATATCAAACATCTTAGGCATAACATGGAACAGGTATTTTTCATCAAGTATTGATATGTTGAAATTTAAGTCCCTATAGAATATGATGAAAAAACATTTAAAAATTAAAATATATTTTAAAAATAGGCATAAAGAATTATATACTTATGCTTACACATCTAACCATATACAACCTTGAAGCAGGACAGTCCCGCAACATTCCTTTTCCTGTCTCCTGCCTTCATTCACCACCCGCTTCTTTTTGAACAGTCATCTACCCGAGAGACAGCACAACAGTTCTTGGCCTTTTTATGGGTGATCTTGTTTCCATTTTCACAATAACTCGATGTGGAAGGTATTCTGCCCATTTTTATGGACCTAACCTCAGGAGAGTTCACGATCTCTAGGTGCCAGAACCTTAAGTCCCTGTATATCTGACCCTTATCCCGTGATCTTTCTAATGACTTCGATTGAATTCATGAACAATTTTAAGGACCTGTTGAAAAAAAATCTATCTTACCGTCCTGATAGTCTGTGCTTACTCTATAGTTCTGTTCCCCCAAAAAGGTGTTTCTAGTACTTAAATGTTTATTCTTTTGATACTTACTATTTTGCCTAATGTTTTTCTTATCATAACTTTTTATCCTTAAATTTTTCTGAGTTCTTAAATTTACCAGTCTCTTCTATTTTCTTACCATCCTTTTGTTACAAGTAAGAAAGCCTCTATGATGATAATCGTCTTTTTTCTCCTATTACTTGACTTTTTTAATAATTCAAATGGCATCTTGGCAATCCTAATACAAAATTTCTGTTTGTCTGAAAGGCAAGAGTGTACATTTGCATTAAATTCAGGTGACCTTCTCTGACCACTCTTCCTCTGTATTCACCTCCCTTTCCACCTCTTTTTATTCTGTGTTCCATAAGAACATCTTTTATAAATAGTGCAGTAAGTACTTTGTCTCTCAGGGGACTTGTGAGGATTAATTAGCTGATGTCTATAAAATGCCTGGGAATGTAAAATACTCCCAGGTAATGCTTTATGGTGCTGTTATTGCTTTGAAAATTCTGTCCTCCAAGCTGTTTTTGTGTCATCCCATTCCACCTGTGCAGTCTGGGTGTTTCTCTAGCTCATGAAATGTTTTATGAGTATTGGAAAGTATTTATAAAAGTAAAATTTAAGAAAATTATTTTCTTTTATTGCAGAAAGAAAGGATTTGATATTAAATGGGTGGATGATACACATGCTTTAGGAATATTCTCCAGTCCAATCACAGGTATTCGTACAATGTATCTCAAGCGTTTTCTTGTTATTTATTTTTGCCTACTACTTACTTCCCTTCTGTTGCAGCCAATTGGACATTTTATTCAGCTAATACATAGAGGTTTTTGATAGAATACATACAGGTTTTTGAAGTGTGGTGCTTTGGTACTCATGTGTTTCCCCTCCCCTATTTCTGTTAACCTAATAATATTTGGAGAGATAATCAGCTCCTTCCAAGGTTATTTGCACACATAACTGTCAGTCATGACATTGTATCAACAGGTTACTGTTAGAGATGTAAGAAGGCAGTAGAACTAAGCCTTGTTATTTTTTTCCCCATAGATTAATGAATTTGAGGTAGCCCTTTAGTCTAGCTGTGAGAAATTGCAATGCCTACTCTCTGAATATGTGATTTAGCTTTTATACATAAATCACTGGGCTCAGGGTAGATCTGATGCATGGCATTCAGAGAAACTAGATGTTGGAATGTTGGTTCCTATCTGAACCATCTATCTGGAACGTAGGTCTGCAGACTTAACCTGAAGGTAAAGCAAAAAAGCAGCCACAGATAATGTGCAAATAAATGGTCCTGGCTCTGTTTCATAAAATATTACTTATAGCCAGAAGTGACTGGCTGGACTTGGTCATAAAGCCACAGTTTACTGATCTCTGATCTAAAATCATCACGGTTGTGTTCTTTACATATTTTCTTTATTTTAGTATCTTTTTCTTGCTGTGAAAAAGAAACAAGATCTAGGAAATACTGGACTTTCCTCTGTAGATCTCTACTTCATATCTTCTGTTATCTTACTTCTTGTAGCTCGTGATGCTTTGAGTATTAAACATAACATGGTGAAGATCCGGCCCTTGTCACAGGCCACAAGAGCAGCCAAGGCCAAGGCTAGAGCTTATGCTGGTGAGTTTACAAGCTCTGGGCTCTCTTTTCCAGCAGTTGTGCACCATCCAGAATTTTAAAGACACTTTTTTTAAATTTTTGATAGGAAGAAAGTAGGGTTTTAGGCACAAAAAGAAAAGTGCCTATATTAGAAACAAGTCAAATTAGAGCAGCTGGTTGGGAGAGTGGGCGATGCTGACTGCAAGCAGTGCAGCAGTTGGCTTTGGGTGATACCGTTTCTAGTTTACCTCTGTTTTAGCTGCTTCAGAGTCACTGTAAGAAATTGTGTTAGTGCAGATAATGAAGCCAGAGTTGTTTGTGCTTTACCATGTTAATTTCCTCTGATCCTCATCTATCAGGCTTGTATTAATTACTGCTGATGCAGCCCTTGTTAGTCTATTTTGTATGTTAATTACTGAGTTAAATCACTTGGAGCTAGAGTGCTTTCTCCCTTATCCTCTCCTCCTCCCTCCCTTTCTCCCATTCAGAATTCCTTCAGCCAGCGAAGGAGCGTCCTGAGACTTCAGCAGCCCTAGCCAGAAGGTTAGTCGTCAGTGCCCTTGGGGTTCGAAGCAAGCAGAGCAAGACCGAACGGGAGGCAGAGCTCAAGAAACTGCAGGAAGCCAGAGGTGAGTTGATACAAAGGTGCTCTTCCCTAGTGCCTCTAGCCACTGTAAGTCGTGTTTAAAAAAAAAAGTTAAGTCCATTTCATGTCATTTCCATTTTCGAGGAGCCTCTCAAGTGTACAAAAATTGTTTTCAAGCCTCACATGAGAGAGACACATTTCAGGATTTGTCTGCATTCCGCATCACAAAGGCACCCTGATCCGTGCTCTTACTGTTTTCTAAGAGATAGATTTGGTCCTCTTGGCTCACTCTTGGCTTTTTCTATAGTCCTTGCCCCAAACTCAGAAAAAATTTTCCTGCGGAAGCATAATAGTCTCCTAGACAGAAAACATTTGCTGTGGTTTTACACAGCCATGCTTGCCATGTTGTTATTAAATGGTTTACATCTTAGGTAGGAGACAAATTAAGATAAAGCTGGCAACTGACATGAGTGGTCATATCTGTAAGAAGGATTTCTGTTTTTTTAAGATGATCATAGAGGATTCATTAGAGTACATTTGGATTTACCTGTCTTCTCATTATTTCCCAGTATCTAAGAGTTCTCAGAAAATATTTCCCTTATCCACAAGCAGAGTTTTTCTTCCCTTATAGTTTGAGTTGAAGTTAAAATACACCTCATCTTTATAAGCTGTTGCTTGTGTGTAAAGACTTGAGACTGAGGCTTGGCACTTAGTGCTTTTTATTAACCTTCAGACTTGAGTCGGTCTGTTGCCTAAGCCTGAGATCTGTGGAATCTATGGAGGCAGTTTCTTCTAAAAATTCCAGTTACTGAAAAGTGACTTCATTGTTTCCATTAAATGAATGGAAGTTTCAGACTCCTTGTTTATTGCCAGCCTAACAAGGCCATTAATACTTCCTGTCCACTCTACTTTGGTGATAGCAGGCAGCTTGTGGACTCTCAGCTGCACAGGGCAGATAACCAATGACGGAGCGTGTCATGGCAGGTGCTAGAGTTTCAGACTTGAATGCAACTAATTTTTGTAACCTTAATGATTATGAGGTAGGTTTGACTTTTCCCAGTACTTTGTTCACTCAAAGGCTTCCTATAGACTATGTAAATCAGAGAGGATTGCCCTGCTTTTTATAGGTAGCAGTAGCAGAGCTAAAGAAGAATGGGCAGTGTCCTTTTTAATTGGTTATCTCTGAGGAAAATTATTTCTGTGTAATAGCTGCAGTTATCTCAAAAGATGGGTTGAGGTTATTAACAATGGTATCTGAAGGAGATGACTCCTTGTGTAGTGTACCAAACTTCCCTATGGGTTTAACATCCGCCGAGTCTACAACTACTGCAACAGTTGTTTTACATGGATATTCGATTATTCTGCACAAGTTGACTGTAGGCACATCAGCATGCAGCTCCACTTCAGGTATTTGTTTTAAGTGCCTTGCTTTACAAAGGGCACTTCAGTGATGCAATTAAAAATGAGACTGTTGGCTAACTGAATACTCTGTTACTTTTCTAAAGAATGCTTTTATTTGTGGGTAGAGACCCACTGTGATAAGTTTATCTCTATTGACACTTAAGACTATATAGATAACAGGAGACCCTTCCTTTATTATGCTTCAGAGCTTCCTGTTCTTCAGACCTAAAAAATGCATTTGGGAGACTTCTTGGTGTTTCTCTCCTGGCACCTTTCTGTCTCAGGGAGATACTTGTGTACCTGCCTTCATGGAACCCAAGCCTTCTCACTTCAAAAAAAAAAAAAAAAGTTTTTTCCTATGGAAATAAAAAGTACTTCTTGAGTATTAAGCTGAACATTTATTTTTGTTCCAGATGGGAGTAGTACAACATAGTGGATAACATTATAGTATTGATTCTGGACTCAGATTGTCTATGTCTTCATTCTGCCGTGTACTAGCTATGTGACTTAAGGCAGTTTACTTACTCTCTGGTGGTCTCTGGTACCTCATTCATAAAATGGAAGTCAGATGAGATAGTCTATAAAAGATAGTCATTTTTTTAAACTATAGGAACTGGTATTCCTGTTCCAGTAGGCCTATAACAAGCATATAAATGTTAGCTGCTGTTTTTATCAGTGATAATAGGATCATTATGTAGTGAATTTAACATAGAGTGCAGTGCATAATTTTTTGTCATTCTTTTTATTTAAAAATCTTGTAATTCTCTTGTTAGCTCCATTTGGCGTTCACTGAACATGTTCCCTATACAAAGCATTGTCCTCACCTATATAGGAGAATTAGAAAGAAATCAAGATTTCCTTTCCTTAAGACTTAAAAACTACTGGGATTATCTGCCTTGAGTAAGGAAATGTGTACTATTTTTAGATACTTTTAAGCAAATATTTCTCCTTTCTCCTTTTCCCTGGCTTCCCTTTTGTCTCCCAACCTCCTGGGACCTTGTGAGTGTTAGGCAGATGGTCTCCCACTGAGCTACCTCCCCAGCCTCTCCTCTGATGCCAATTCTGAAGGTTTTAAGATGAAAAAGCATAAAAGGATTTTGTTCATGAAAAGGGTTGGGAGGAAACCCCAGGCAGTCAAAGTGACCTGCTTTAGTAGTTTTGTGTCATTACAGGTTTGTGACGAATGGTACTGTCTCAAGTTCAGAGCTGGCCCAAAGAAGTTAGCTCCTAGACTAAGGTCACCCACCTGGTAAAATGAGAAGAGAGATTTGAATGCAGATCGCTCCAGTTAAAACTCATACTTCTTGTATAGTACCGTAGTCCTTCTTGAAGGACTTTTGAGATGATTGACAGTTTTTCTCCAGAAAAAGTTATATTATATACAGATTACATAAATGTCTCTGGAGAATGAAATATGACAGACTTCTTTTTAGTATGTGTACCAATAGTTAGCAGCTTTCACTGTTAGAAGAATCTTCCTTCAGTGTGACTTAAATCTACATGGTAGTTTAAACCATTTTCCTCTTTTTTTCTTAGTAAAACATCTGGATACCATTCTATTTAAGTAGCATTTAACCAAAAGATCAAGAGCAGATAATTTAGGAATGAAGGAATCTGGACTTTGATAGATGTTTTGCCATTAACTAGCTTTGGCCTGGGGAAGTCAAATATGCTCTTTGCTGCACTTGCAACCAAGTGAAAGTACTGCTCGCCCTACCTAATCCGGGAGAATTTTTTGAGTACAACATATGTAAAAATGTTTAGAAAAGTGCTTTAAAAATCCAAGATAGTGTTCTTAGCATTCTACATTATAATAATATAAGCCAGTAACAACAAACTTATATTATGTACTGCTCTTTCCCCTACATGTGGTACGTACTACTAATCTGTTGTGATACTCGCTGTTGGTGATTATTGACATGAGCATTTTTAACTGACCAGAATTAGCATGGAAATTAATCTATATACCATCCTGACATAGGTGCTTTCATTAATAATATATAATAATGGTTTAGCCCTTCTTTCTTTTACATAAAGAATTCTGTTGCCTGCCACAGTACCCAAAACATAAAAAGACACTCATTATATGTTCATTGACTAATACATTAGTAACATTGGCTACTTTAATTTTTCTTTATAAACCTTAGGAGTTTAAGCTCTCTAAGTCTTCCATGTTTCTAAAATCTAAAATTAATCACATCTATGAAACTTTTCTAATTAGTGAGTTTAGAATTCATTTATTTGAGTTTCAAATACTTTCCTGCTAGGCTTTTCCATCCTACTTGGATTTTTTAACACCTTTAAAGAAGATTCAGAAATTAATGTCATTCCTTGGAGAATGAGAAAAAGATGTACACAATTTTAAGTAGATCACATTGATTACATCAGAAGGAAGATGGCTATAGTAAATAGTCCCTGAATAAAATACAGGTATCTTTTAATCCAACAGAGTGCATAACAGATCAAAAGCTACACTAAAAGTGTAAATAAAGCATGGATCATCTTTTAGCACCCACATTTAGGAATATGTGTAAGATTTCTCCATGTTCTCCTTAGGCACTTTTTTGATTCCTATCTAAAATTAGATATAGATGTCATTGCCTGGTAGGATAAGAGATACATATGTCATTGCCCTCTCATTTTCAAAGTCTGCTATAATTTTATTTCATAATTTATTTTCATTTTACTCTTGGGGAATAGGTGATTAATGGCTAGTTCTGAAAAGCCATGTTTTGGTTCACAGGCCTAAGAGGCAGAGTGAGTAAGCAGTATGATTAATTAAATTACCAAGAACTGAAGATCATCTCTGTGTGATACTTAGTCTGCTATGATAATACAAATTTGACCGTGGTTGCTAACTTCTGAAAAGCTTTATAGGCATGCTGTATTACTGGTTTATAATCTAGGCCTTCAGGTATTTTCTTGATGTTTTTTCTCTTGCTGTCTGAACTTCCTTTCATTTGTAACCATATTTTGAAGGCGGTATTTTTTCCTAACATGCAGGGCAGTGGTCCCTCACATATTGCACAGGTTGTGTTCCAGATACCCTCTGCAATAAGTGAAAGTCAGCCAAGTAGCAACGTTATATTTATTTTAGCACATACATATTTTAAGGGTTTGTAAACCCTTCCTACACACTTACGAACCTTTTCCCACTTTCAAAAACACTTGTAATATTCTTTTTTTTTTTTTTTTTTCCTGTCTTTAGGACAGGGTCTACAGAGTCTCACTACATAGCTCAGACTTCTAGTGATTCTCCTGTCTTCAGCCTCCCAAGTGCTGGGATTACAGGCATGCCCCACAACAGCCAGTCTCCGTTGCTGTCTTAATGCACCCCCCAGGAAGGGCTGGCAAGGCACAATGGGGATTGAACCCTGGCTGCTGCAGTCTGCCTATGTGGGCGCTTTAGGCACTTGCAAAATATTCTTAGCCATTTTCTAAACTCATACACCTACATAATTTTAACAACATACATATACTATATAGTACTGCAAAATCCTGTGATACAGCAAAAAATCCCTGATAATTTATATTAATATTTTTGAAAACCCATGAAACATGAAAGACAAACTATGAAACAGTAAGGCACTACTGTACTTACCTACTTTTTCATGTTGGTTATTTAATAAGCTTACTTCCCTTCCCTAAAGCATAGGTGAAAATGTTAGCCTTAAACTAGCTGAGCAGCTAACCAAAAGCATTGTTAAAGGAAGTAGCACGTAATTTCTTGTGTTGATATGTAATATTCAAATTCTTTGTAAAATAAAATACCAGGGCCAGAGATACAGCTCAGTGGCATAGTGCCTGCTTGGCAAGTGCACGTTCCTGAGTTTGATTCCCAGAAGCTCTCCCCACCCCCCAAAAAAGAATAAAATGCTTCTTTGTGAGCTCTAGACTATGTCTTTCTAGTATATTGGTGATTATATAACTATTTGGTAACTTTGAAGCCAAGAACCTAGGTAAGATTAAGAGATTATTTGGATTAATATTCTTTATCAGGTTTGTCACTCCATAAAAGAAAACAATTAATTTGACCAGACTTCTTCACAGAGCATGTTGATTAGTACTTTGTAGGTACCTACAAGTGAACTTCATGATCACTTTTTGTACATGTAGAAGTAATATTTGAAAGTCTTTCATTTACATGCCCACACCTTTTTCCATGAGGTAAAACTGGCTCTCTTTAAAGATTAAATGCTTACCATTCTCTCCCTGAAAGTCAGCTGATCGTTCCATGATCTCGATACATTTACCTAATAGAGCGATTTGTTAGTGTGCTTATTATACTGAGGAATGGAAGTCTTCAGGGCCAGTGTGTGTGAATGCTTTAGATTCATGATTTCTTCTAGTCTGTGTTCCCTTAATTCCAGGCCCTTTGGCTGCTCTTAGGCTTTCTCTTTCTTTGGTTTACTTTTCTTAACTATTATAGGTAAGTTAATGAGAGCTTTTTCTTTTTATGAAGTTGATTAGCTATTATCTGCTTTTTCATTAAAAGGGAGACATTTCTTTATGTCAGTAAATTTTTTCACATGCTTTTCCTTTTCTTTGTAGATAACGTTTTCAGATGTTAGGATAATAGAAGAAGTGATGGTTAAGAATAAGGATGGGAATTCAAGCCTCTAGTCTTTCATTGATTATGTAACCTTAGGCAAGTCACTTAACAGTTTTGTTTTCCTCATAAAAATGAAATTACTTGAAGTCCCATTCTAACAGATTTTTCTCTATAGTATATATGTTTTGTTTTTGTAAATTTATACTTTGCATTTTTACTTTCTTTATACCTCTCAGCTTGTCCTTGCAGTATTAATTTTTCATATTGTTTGCCACCAAAATTTCCTCTTATATATATTTGGTAATACAGAGCTTTTTTTTATTTATTAGAAAGCATTAGTGTAGGGCATGTTTTAGAATTCTGAACTTTCAGATTTTTAGAAAGGTAATATAATATCCATGATATATCATAATACCAAAATCAAGCACATTTAATATTTCTGCACCAAAGTCTATTATTATTCATATTGAACATAATATGTAAAGACTGTAATCAACCTTGAGTCATTTCAGGTTAGATTTGCCACCGTCAATGAATTTGGGCCCAAACTTAAAAAGTTTGTTTTGTTTTCAGAACTGTTTTAATTTTGGAATTGTGGATTATTGCATTTACTGTCCCTAGATATCTTTTCTTATGACTGCTTGTATTACCTTTCTGGTCTTTTTCCTACCCTACTAACAAGGTTGAGTTCCAGTTCACTTTTTTTTTTCTAATTAACTTTTCTTTTAAATTTAGAACCAACTTTGCGTTGATTTTTATCCAAGGCTGCTGTTGCCTTTAGATCTCCTGACTTCTCCATGCTTGTAAGAATCAAAACCATACTGCCTCCCTAAGAAATCCTTAAATGCTTTAGACAAGTAAGTTATTCTTGCACTGTCTCTTGGAGAACTTCACCTTCAAGCAAGCCTGCCCTTCCAGCTGAGTTGGTGGGCACTGTGTTAACCATTCTGTAGTCTGCAGTTTGTTGACCTTCATTTTTCATGTCTTGTAACTTTGCTGCTATTTTCAGAAAATACCACAAGATGGTGCCCAAATAGCAGGGAATTTTCTCTTTCTCACATTTCCAAGTGCCACTCGGCTTCCTGTCAAAATACTTGGCCCTTAGAGTCAAGTAGAGCTGAGAATATTGTTAAGAGAGTATGCTGATTTTGAAAGATATGTCAAAATAGCAAATTTACTCTAAACTCGCCTTGATTTCTATAATTCATTCAGTTCATGATTTACAGTCTTTCATAGACAGTATCAATTTGGAATAGTAGCCCCTATAGAGAAACATTTAGGCTTATCATCTACATTTTACGGTGACAAGATAAAGTGACTGGCCATAAAATTAGGGCTGTTATTATGTCACCTAACAAAGTGTTTGGGCTATCTAACCATATGGTACTTTTTTGACTTGGTTTGGTTTGGGGATGGTGTCTTACTGTGTTACCTAGGCTGGTCTTAAGCTTTTGGGCTCAGGTAATCTGTGCCACCTCCACTTCCCAAGTAGCTTGGACTATAGGCACATACCACCACTTCTAGTTTATATTATGTCAGCTCTTGGTAAGAGTTATATGGAAAACCAAGTTTTTATATTAAAAATTGAAGCTGGATTATCCAGATTTGTATATTTTTTTGATTAGCTGATTTTTTCTTCCTTATATGTGGTCATTTTTCCTTGTTGGAATTGTGTATTCCAGGATTACTGGCTCCTGAAAGTGTTCTGCAAAATACTGAAATTTGGTTTACTTCTGAAATATTTATCTAATAAATTTATGGTAGGACATATGAGTAAAGCTTAATGGCTATTTCCATTTGAGCAATAAAATAGAATATTAAGACATTCTTGATTCCCATTGAAATATTTATAAAAGTGAGTGCATAAGGAATAATAAGGAATTATATTGAAGCATTGAATACAGCTGAAAAGTAGAATTAAGATAAACCTCTAGAGGGAAAATTAGAATCCTGCTAGGTTTAGCTTATTCCATATACTTTAATTTCTGAGAGTTCCAAATCTTTTCTTTCTGTTGTGTAATAGTGTGCGCTGGATGTTTAGCTCAGCAGTAAAGTACATCACTAGTATGTGTGAAGTTCTGAATTTGGTCCCAAGAACCATACACAGATGTACACAACAAAACAAAACAACTTACAGCCCTATCATTTTCACTTACACAGCACTTGAAAAGTTAAACAACTGATGAAATCAAGTAAAAGGTGACCAGGAAATCCATCTGTTTTGTGATTAAAGATGCTTTGTAATTAGTATTAAGGGAGACTCACTAGTTACATAAAGTATGCATCCACATTTAAGTGTGCCTTTTTTTTTTAAACAGAAAGAAAACGTTTGGAAGCCAAGCAAAGAGAAGATATCTGGGAAGGCAGAGAACAGTCTGTAGTTTGAGCATCATTCAGTGAAGAGTAAACTCCATGAATTAAAAAAATATTTCTCTATCCTCAAATACAAGGATCCTTCAGAGCTATGCACATGCAGACATGCATGTTAAAGAAAGAGAAAAAGCTATCAAGACAAACATTGACTGGGTAGAAAGAAAACAGACACTTGTCTTCACTCCTAAATGCAGTTCTTCGCTGTTGCCCTACTGTGGTAGATATGAAAGGGAGTGGTCAGCTGGGAAGAAACATGGAAGATGTAGCTTCCAGGAGGCCCGTGGACAGAGCAAGCCGTGTGAGCGTGGATCATACTTCAAGGTGTGTGAAGCAGAGCAGAAGATCCAAGCAAGCAGTGATGGGAGGTTTCGGCCCTGCAAAGGCAGCGCATTCCTTGTTACCTTACACAGCTGAAAAAAGCAGTATTGGGGATAGGAATGGAGGACACGTGAGGAGCAGTTCAGACATGGACAGACCAGAGTTGTACTTGGCACACACAGTCACACTGCTGGTCCCAGAACTCCAGAGCTGGTGATCTGTCACAGATGGGGGTATTTGGATCCGGAGTGGTACTAAACTCCATGCCTGGGGCTGCTCCAGGTATACAGCAACCAGGCACTTGCCCACTGCATTCCTCCAGCCACTCTTGAGGAGTTGCATGTCATTTCTACTTTAAGCAGTAATTTATTGTAAAAGGGAAACATTAAAGGCCATTTTACAACATACAGCACTGTGGTATTTATCAGTTTTTCTTTCCCACGAAGAAATGAGAGCAGCTCTGCTCTTAATGCCTCTGAGGCTAGCACAGGTTAAGTACGTCTGTTGCTTTCATTGAACCCTAGGGAGTATGCTGTCTTTTCCCCAGAATATGTATTTTAAAATGACCATCCTAGGATTCTCGGTGTTTTGGAAAGTATTATGCCCCAAGGAAGTAGTAGTGGTGGGTCTTAAGGGGCTCACGTGGCAAAACAGACAGTAGCCTTCTTAATCCTGACCCAGTTGTCCCTTTTGCTGTTGCCGTCATAGAGCCCTGTCACTCACTGTTCCTTAATACTGTTTTTCTCATTCTTGGTCCATTCTTCCAGTGTCCCATGTTCCTGTTAAGTGTCTCTGTGCCAGGTTTAGGACATGAAGTTATTGTCGTGACCCTTTGTCTGCTGCTATTTAGTCTTTGTCTTGGGTTACTTGTTTCCATGGTATGCTTGACCAATATGGCTACAGCTGAAAGATGCAAAGGATTATTGTCGCATGGCTTCATACTGAATGGTATACCTCTGGAATTTTCTGTTGTTATTTATATTGCTGGGGATAAACATAGGGCCCTACCACATGGTAGGTAAGCACTGTTGTACTAAGCTACTTCTCAAGCCCATGTTTTTAGAGTCTTCAAGGCTAAGAGTGACTTTGAAAAATACAGAGATGACGTCCTGTCATTTGCCTGTGAGGGTGCTTCCCCCGTATGATTGCTCTTTAGCTTCTGAGGGCATTGTTAATGGTAAAATTTACCCCACATTTGTTACCTAGCTTTTTTATAACCCTCCTAATTTCAAGGACTTATTTTTGTTGTCATTCTAACACAGTGTACTAGAAGCCTGTTCTTTTTTAGCTGACAGCCAGACATCTTTAAGTCTGAGGTTTATCTTATAACGAAATCCAGATAAAGGGGTTTTTTTTTTAAGTCACCACTTGAAAATTACGATGTGGTGCTTTTGTCATTAGTTGGATGTGCTTTTTACTGGATGTGCTTTTTACTTGTATTGCTTTTGATATTAGTAGGATGTGTTTTTTCTTGTATTATTCCAGTAGTTAGGGTTGATGACTAGCCAAAGATATGAGGTCCTGCTATGGCCCAGTAGACTGCCTGGAGCTTATCCAGCTGAGAATCAAATCCTAGGTCGTGTCTAAACCTTGCCTTCACCAACAGAACTAACTGGAGAGAACCGTGCAGCTGCCACAGGCTCTTTGTTAGGTCATTGTAAAGACAGCTCAGATATTCTGCTGTGGGTATGGGTGTTCCTTCATGTATGTCAAACATCCAAATTCAGGATCACCTGGAATTTATAGTAGAAAGGTTCTGATTTCTTCCTCAGAATGAAAGTCTTAAAATAGAAGTAAATTTAAGCTGAAATTCCAGCTCTTTAATTTCTAGGACCAGAGTGTGCTGGTGTCTTAGGATTTTAGTTCTGTCTGGAATTTAGTGGTTGGTATTCAATTAACATTCCTCATCTAGTTGTAAGGCATGCCAGCCACCAATCTTCCCCTGACCTTCCCTTTCAACTCAGTGCTGTAACAGCACAACCCTTGTATAGCTTTTTCCAGGAATTATAACAGGCTGCACCAACCAGACGTGTCATGTGGGCAGCAAGACAGCCCAGAGCCAGTGGCTGGCTGCCTGGCCTGCTTTTTCTGGCTGTCTTGGAAACTAGATCCAGCAAGAAGTGGAGGGAGAGTAACCTCTCCGTGCAGATGTAGCCGTCAGTCGCCACACACTCCCCAGAGCTGTGCTTTCTTTCATAGACCATTTGCTGCATGTGTGAGAATAATGATGTTACTGTTGGGAGAGGTTTGCTGGGTCCAGCAGGAAATCAGTCCTTTCCCTGTTTCCCTAAGCTGGCATGCCTCATAAAGGGATGAGAGCTGAGAAGCGAAAAGATAGAGGAGAGGAAAAGAGAAGGTACTTCTTTCTATTCACAGAGGGTACTGCCTGCCCTGGAGGAGTCCCTGTGAGTCCCTCTCGTAGCTCTTATGGTGACAGAGTCCTGCTTTCTGCTACCATTCATTTCACGTTGGCAGCCTCTTACAGAAGTTGACAATTCTGAGATTTTTACCTTCTTGCACCTTCCATTTCTTAACGTTTCCAGCTTGTGGTTAGCACTGAGCGTAGGAGGGAAACCGAAAGCAGACAGCAGGTGAGTATCTGATTAGAGAAATGAACAAGGATAATGCAGAGTCCCAAGCACCCTCATCCCCAGTGGGAGGAAAAAGGGTGGTGTGCTCGGAACTGCACATAATCCCAGCTGGCCGTGGCTTACAGCAGTCCATAATGAGAACCTTTTATTGACATTAAGGTGGCAGGCTTATAAGGATCATCTCTGTGTATCACGTTGAAGAAGACTGGGACTTTATACCACCTAAGCAAGAGCATAGTTCAGCCACGTCAAGTGGGGTGGTTGCTCTCTCCAGACGCAGTCCTTAATTAAAGCTTCCCCTTTCTGGTGTTTGCAGTCTCTTGCCACTCTGGAGAACCTGTCTTCATGTTCCCATAGAGTGGCTTCTTTGATGCTCGTTCCATTACAAAGATGTATTCAGTACAAAGCTGATTTGATTGAGAGTTGAAATTTAGGTCAATCTTGAGATGTGTGGTGATCCCAAGAGAGCCTAGACTGCCTGTCAGGTGTCTGACACATATTTCTGTCCTTGGCAGTGGCCTTGATACAAGCTAGGATCTGTCTCACCTCAGGCCTTCTGCGGCTTTGCAGGAAGGCCTCTCTCACCACTCCTATGAAACTTGCCCCTTCTCAGACAGTCAGTAGCTGGTGGTGGTGTTCCATCAGGAAGTGATGGGATTCCTGAGGCTTAGATTTGTCAAGTTTTAGAAACACCCGAATGTATGGCAGGATAAAGGTAGAAACACTAGGGAGTGGACTATGAAGGGGAGTGCTGAGTGAGGACAGATAAGGTCACACTGCTTTCACCAGCCTTTTTGCCATTTGTATGCTTTGACAGTTACATTGCAGTACGCCCCTGCCAGAGAACTGGTCCCACTTCTTGTGTATTTAGGTACATTTGTAAAGCCCCACTTAGGTGGGGGACTGTGCCATAGTAAATCCCTATGGAGCTGAGAGCTCTGGAGTCCAGGGACCCTGCAGTAGGTTTCAGGAAAGGTTAGGTGATCTTCAGGTGCTTAACTGACTGAAGCCTGAAGGCCATACTCCGTAGGCCACAGGCTCTCGAGGGACAGGCCCCGAGCCCTCCTGAGGGAGCGGTATCATTAGGTTTGGTGATTGCCTTCAGAAGGCTTCCTGAGTACGTGGTGCCCTTCGGAATCAGCCCCTTGTGAGTCAGGACTCAGGGCATGGCTCCAGTAAGTTGAGGTATCTGGTGTGTGGGCAGCAGCTGGGAGTGTGCGCTCATGGCTTCAGATAAGGTTGTTCCTGAGTCGCTCCTGCTCCAGGAAGAGTTCTGCATTGGCTCGGTATGAATCTCCTGTGGGCCAAAGGAAAGCAGGTGGGTATCCAACTCCACCACAGTCTCCCTCCTCCTCTGACAACTTTACACAGACCTGTTCTTCCCAGCTAATCCTTCATAGCAGCTCCATCTTGGGCACAAACGCTTAGTCATTCTCTAGAAACAGACCGTCTTAGGAAGAGGTTCCTGAGTGGAAGGGGCAATGGTGGAATTTCATCGCTCCCTTCCTGGCTAATTCTGTGCCCTGTGTTCTCTTCCCTGGAAAACATCCCTAGAGTTTTTACCATCCTGGCGGCTGCCTTGTCCTCTGGTTTGCTACTGAAATAAGGCAACAGCAGAAGATTAGAAAGTAAAGGAGAAAAGAGGGGCATTTCTTCTGCTCTGCCCTGTACTCAGGGCAATGACAGTCTGTGACTCTGGCCAGGCCACCCTCCCTAGTTCTTTCACCTAGCTTCATAACATGCCTTTCTCCTTCAGACGCAGAATGAATGACATTTTCTCCTTGTTTATCCCAGATGCCTCAGCATTCCTTGTTTATCCTATGTCTCAGACTCACTTCTCTGTGAGTAGTGCTTTGTTACACTTCAGCTGATCTGCATGTGCCCTCTGTTCTGCTACTCTGATGGGTTTCTAATCATTAGCAGCAGGACCTGCGGGATAGGTGTTTCTCCTTCCTTCCTCGGTGCTCTGGATCTATACAGTCTGAGTACTTCCTGTACATGCATAACACTGGACTTGAATTCTTAATTCCTCTCATGCTCTGTATTTCATGTTGGCAAACATCTACTTGCTCACCCAGATTGGAAACCGTGAACTTCCTCTTTTTACTCTCATCTTTTGCCAGAGTTATTTTTTGAAACAAATAATTTTTGTTTCCTTGACTGAAGTTTGTTGAGGAAAAACAACCATTTCCTTAGAACAACCATAGCTGCCCTGAAGAGCACTTGAGTAGGTTGGAAGCTCATGGCCCTGTTTTACAAAAGAGGAAATGGGCTGAGATTTCCTCACTGTCCGACAGCTAGAAAGTGATAGGTCTGGATTTGGAGCCCAATCCAGTGCAGATGTTGGAAGCCAACCCAAGGCTCTTCCTCCTACTCTTCCCAAACCCTGCTCAGGCATCATCCTCTCAAACCTTTCCTGCCCCTTCAGTTGCTTTCTCTCTGCTTATTCTACGTTTGGTTCAGACCTGCTTAGGGGACTCACTAGCATAGGGTTAACTGTTTGTATATGGCACACCCTCCCGATGCTGAGCTGTAACTTCAGTGCGACTGCAGTATTCAGCCCAGAAGGCCTTAATACTGCTGACTGAAGGCGCAGCTCTGTCCTGTCGCACCCCACACATACAGGTATGGCTGTGAATGCACAAAGCAAATACATTTTAAAACTTTAAAATGGAGGGATTCTTTACTAACTAGTGCAGCAGCACCTCCTAACTCTGCCCCTTAATTGCTGCTTGCTTTGTCTGATACTACCAATCCTGTGTCTTTGTTCAGTTTCAACCTGTGAAGAAATTAGCCTCTGTCCCTTTCCTCTCCTTTATGCACACATACTTGGGGGCTTGTTAGAGCCTGCCAGGCCCCTGAGCCCACCACACAAGCTAGTCCCATGCGAGTGCCCAGTTACCTGTGTGGCAGTTGTGCAGCCAGACCCGCTGCCCATCGTACTTGCAGCGGCAGCGCATCATGTTGTTGGAGAAATCCGACTCTGCCACGTCATTCATGGGATTCACAACCACCTGGGGTAAGGCACGACTGGAAATGGGTTATCTGATTTCTGAGGTGACGCGTCAGATCCCCTGCGTCTCACATAGTATTTTTACAGTGTGTTTTCCTATTTGCTTCGTTAATTTTTACAGTCACTCATAAGGTAGGCATTTACATCTGTATTTTACAGATGGAGATAAATTGCTCATGTCGCTGAATGAGGACCAAAACCCAGGGCCTTGAGATCCCCATCAGTGTCCCTTTGCCATGGCACAGCTGTCAAAGTAATAGGCCTATTGAAGGCTATCCCTTCAATAGTGGAAAATTCTGCTTTCGTCTTACCTGGAAGATATAGTCCCCTGGGCCCACATCTGTGATATCCACCCACTGGCAGTCAATATCATGCCGGTAGGTGTCCCAGCAGCCCACAGTCACTCCCTGTTCCCCAAAGTTGGCACATGCATAGCGCCGCTGCAGTCCTGGGAGGAAGGGAAGGTGGTTACCGAGGCACCAGGCAGGGACTTGTGATGACACACGATGCTCAGGCTTCCACGAGATTGCCTATCCCCAAGCCAGTGCTTGCTGAACAGCCGTTACACTAAGTGCGGATTCCAGCCCCAAGGCTGAGTTAGGTGACTTGCCTATGCGTCAGAACTGGACTGCAGCCCCGCACAGTGGCACAGGCCATCTGTGACGGGGAGATAAGTGGTGCGAATAGAATATTGAAAGTCCTCATCGGCCTAAAATGTGGGTGGGAGATGGGAACCCTAAGGTGCTCATCTGTGTTCATCTGCCCACCCAGCCCTCTGAAGATCATGTGTACCAGGCCGTTCTTAGGCATGGAGACGGGGAGGTACATAGGCATTGGGCAGTCCCTGCCTCAGCTGAGTAGACTGCAACTACTACCCCAGATAGAAATGCTTAAGCTTTTAAAAGCAGTACAGTGTGTGTTCAGAATTCAGAGGAAATAGAGGCCTACCACCCGAAATCTCAGAAGATACGAAACGGATCTTTGTGAATTGTTTTGAGTGCTGTTGGCTATGCCAGAACCCAGGTGTCAGGGCTGTTGAGTAAGACAGGAGAGATCCCCACTGGCACAGGACAGAGGAATGTAACAAGGGGATAGGTGCTGTTAGGAATCCACGTACCTGTGGGACAGTTTGTGTCTTCTAGACAGAAGCTGGCCTTGTGCCCCTCAGCCACCTTGGAGCCATTCAGAGTGAGCAGGTCATAGTGGGTGAAGACCTCGATGCTGTGGTAGTGCCTGCAGAGGAAGCATGGTTGTCAGCCTCGCAGCACTGAGAGGGTCCTCTCTGTACGAGTTGGCAAGGAAGACTGAGGGACTAGGCCCCATCATTACCTAGAAAGGAAAGTTATAATACCAGGGCAGTGCTCTACTCTCTTTCAAACCCAAGATTAGTGTGACGCACAGCCTATTTTGCTGGCACCCCTCCGGGCAGCAAGGCATGGTATCCCTGTCACCTAGGGTCTCAGCCCAGGTGAGGAGAGGTACAGCCCTGCCCTGGTGGCTTTCAGGATGTTGGAACCTGGCTCAGCCTGAGGCAGAAGTAGGAGGCCGGAGCAGCTGGCCCTGAGACCTGCCTAGGAGCAACGGTGCTGGGGAGGGAGCTAGCTGACTGCAGTCAGCCTGGGACCAAATTGCTACCATAGCTTCCAATATAGCTGTAATGACAACTCTGTTCATCCTGCAGGGAAAGGTGCTCATTATCTCTGGCAAGGCCAGATCCCGAAGTCATTGCCCATTCCTCTCAGCTTTCCCCATCCGTGGCTATGTCCTGAAAAAGTAAATAAAACAATTTCCCATTCTGTGTTTGTCACGAGCATTGTCTCTCCTGGTCTGGAGGCTCCTGATAGGAAAGGATGTTCATTGTCTCCTTTTGAGTAGCTTCTGCTTGTACTGTTCTTTGGATGCCTTTCCTTGCTACCATAGGAACCAGCAAGCTTTTTCTGCAGAGCCAGCATCCTATTTTGGGCCTCTAGGTTTCTAGGAGTCCTTAGTTTACTTGGCTTTAAGGAAACCTAAGACTGAATGTAGAAAAGTTATGTAAATTGGGCATGGTAGTACATGCCTCTGATCCCATCCCTCGGGCTGAGGTGGGAGGAGCGACGTTCTAATCCAGCCTGGGTAATTTAGCAAATTTGTGAGACCCTGTCTCAAAACGAAATAAAGAATTGGGGATATAGCTCAGCGCAAAGGCCCTGGGTTTAATCCCCAGTACGGGGGGAAGGGCGGGGGGTATAATACCATTCTAGCAGAGAGCAACTGCTGGGCATACCCTCGCTGCAGGACTCACTTGGGAAGTGCCCTATGAGCACTGTCCACGGTTGTATCCAAGGAGGGTGAGAGACAGACAGGAAAATGCTACAGCAGCCCTACTGCCCTGAGAGTGAGGGCGGGAGGCTCCTCTAGCATGTGCACCTCTCCCAGGAAAGTGCCCGAGGCCAAGGACAACAGCACTGACCCGGCTTTTTGTCCCGCACCCTCTGGAGCCAGGGCACAGGCAGGCACTAACCTGTGGCACTGGTGCCAAATCCAGCTGTGGCGTCCAGTCTTGGGACGAAAGTCAGCGCGGCCCAAGTTGTAGATCTGTGAGGAGAAGCGCAGCAGGCGGCGATGTCCGTAGGGCCAGTGCATGTGGTCAGCAGACCTGGAAAGGCACTTCTCTTCATGGGCGCAGTACAGTAAGCTGAGGGGACGGTCCTCCAGATAGGCTGTCTCCTGCACCAGCTGGGCATTCATCACCAGGTCTGGGGCGCCTGGAGCAGCAGAGGGCGAGGCGAGAGGTTGGGGGTGGCACACAACTGTGTCGCCCTTGAGCATGCGCACATGCTTGCTTGCCCCCAGCCCACCCTGCCTGGGAGGAGCCCAGTAAAGGAGGGAAGGGCAGTTGAGTCAGAAGCCGTTAACTCTAGCTCATCATCTTAGCTTGGGAGGCAGCTCCAGGGGTGTGGCTAAGGCTATTGGCTCTGGAGCCCGCCCTCCAGGGTTCTTGCTATGACTTCTCACTGCCATTTTCCAGTTCTACAACTGCTTAATCATTTGTGTGTCATTTTTGTCATCTACAAGATGGAAATAATAGAGATATTAATGTGATAATACTGGTTACATTCTTAGATTGTTATCTGGCCAACAAACACGAATGGATATAAGCTAGCATTTCCTTTGTAAAAAGTTTGTCAGCAGGTAAAGTGCCTTTGTGGAGCTTAGTGCATGTAATAATCATCCTCTCAAACAGAAATCCTGTTCTAGCCTGACTGCTGTCATGGATGTTCTCTGTGCCTCTTTTCTGAGGTGTCATGAGTATTTCTAGTGCTTCTCTGTATATTTAAAGTCCCAACACGCTGGTGCCTGTATCTCCGAGGGCAGCACAGTGGCTGTCGTTCCTGTCCTGTCGCAAGTGCTATTGACCTCCTCCGAAGCCACAGGCCTTCTGTGCTGGTACAGAAATGTGAAGAGCCACAGTCGTGGCCATGCGATCTCAAAAGAGGAAAAGTGCCCATCCTCGATTCCTGTCTGTGCAAAACCAAGGGGCCCAGTGACTGTGTTGGGGCAGAAGCATCCCCTGGGTGGGCCCACATACCGATGCAGGTCGATGGGAACACTGGCTTATTTCAGTGGCTGGCCTTTGAGGGTGCTTTGCTATGTGTTACCTCTGCTGTCACTAAAAATGCTCTTGGAACTCCTGTGTTGAATTTTGGAGAAAGCCAGAATATGCCCACAGACAAGCGCCAGAGTCCTTGAGGGAAAGCAGGGGAGCGTTCAGAAGAGTTGAATAACAGGGAAAAGCAAGGAGGGAAGCTGAAGAGCAAAGGTGGCCACACAAGCTGTGGGTCAGTGGGCCGGCTTCCCAGCCACTGCGGAGCATCGAGAGCTGCCGCCGGGGCCCAGGGTTGGCAGGAGGGAGATGCTGCGTCCAGAGCAGACCCCCAACCTCCCCTGAGGCCCGGATGCAGTGGGGGCTGCTTTGGTGCCCATCAGTCTGCATGGGAGGAGTGCTGTCCAGGCCCAGAACTCTGCTCAGGGTGCACCGCACAGGGGAAGCCTCGTGTGCTCTGACCAAGGTTAAGAATGTCTGGCTAGGTCAACTGGCCGTATAAGGTGAGGCCACCCTGCAGCTTTTGGCCTGGAAATAATTAGCTAGGCACCAACCTTACTGGCACATACTGAACAGAGATATACTGCTTTGAGAGTGTGGGCTTGCAGGGCAGAGCCTTGCCACAGAGTGGTCTCCTTCTCGTGCCCTCTGGGAGCTCCCACAGCTCAAGAGTACACACGAGGGGGGCGCTTCAGCTCGGGTGTGCCTCGCCTTTATAGTCTGCTTTCAACCTTTTTTCTTACAAATGACAAGAAATACAATTGATGTTGTAACTCAGTACACACATATATAGTTCCAAGAAAAAAAAAACCCACTGTTTAATAAACATAATACAGTCTTGTTTTCTGTTGTTTTCCTTTTTAAAGTCATAACCCCAAAATTGAAAAGCCCTGCTCTATCTTCTTGTGTTTCTGCATATTCTGTGTAACTCCGCAAGGTGGGCAGGCAGGTTCGGATCCTGCTTCCGCTATGCGCTGCACCCTGAGCAGAGTTCTGGGCCTGGACAACACTCCTCCCATGCAGACTGATGGGCACCAAAGCAGCCCCCACTGCATCCATGTGACCCTAACCCTAACCCTAACCCACACAACTGGGAAATGCAGCTGGTGCTTCCACTGCTGCCACCTGCCACCCTGCAGCCTCCAGGGCCTTTTGCTGGGGAGCAGAGGCCCACGGGTCACACCCTGTGAGCCCTCCCTTACTCACTGTTGGTGCAGGAAACTCCTGCTGAAAAGCGCCCCGTGCCATGGGAGCAGTGCACAGGCCCATGCCTCTGACACTGCTGCAGGGCCAGCTCCGTCCCTGAGCAGCGCACTCCACTCATCACCACTTCTGCAGCCTCTGGTGTCCCCTGCCAGTACCAGGTGTCCTAAGGAAACAGCCAGCACCACACAGTCAGAGCAGGGAGGCGCTCAGGAGTCATCTCGGCTGCCCACCTGCAGCTTGGACCCCACCCCACTACCCCACCTGCAAGGCTGGGCCCTGCCTGGGCCTGAAGATCGTGGCTGATGAGAACCTCTTCCACTGGGGCAGTCCACGTTGCGTTTGGACCTGCCTGACAGTAGAAGCTTCTGCCATGTGCTGAGGCAAAAACCTGTGGCCTGCGGCTTCTGTCTGGCCCCGCTCCCACTCTTCCAGACAGCAGCGCTCTCCTGAGGTGGGCCTGTGCCCTCCTCCCACCTAGGTGGTGTGTTCCTCACACAGCCTTGGTGTTGTGGCCGATTATCCAGTGAGAGAACAGGCCAGAGAGGGCGGCTCTACCTCAGCCATGCTTGAGACCTCTTGTATGTTTTGCATCTGTTCACTTACTTCCTCCAGACAGCCATTGGCTGGGTCCAGCATGGCATCATTTCTCTTGCCCGGGCTTCTACAATAACTAGCCTCCTATGTATGTCTCCCGGCATCTGGGTTAGTCTCCACCCCAGTGGTTTTCCAACAGCAAAGGAAGAAAGCTTTTCAACTGGATTACAGGTTGAGAGCGCTCTTGACCAGGCTTTTTTCTCCACCCCCAAATGTCACATCAGTCTCCTTTGACAGCCGCAGTGCAACCATGGGACCCTGCTTTCTTCAACTGATTGAAGCTTTCTTTGGCCACAGGGCCTTCGTGTGGGCTGTTTATCTTGCCCGCATCCACCTAACTTCTGTTGGTCTTTCCTACAGACACACCTGTGTACTTCTCTGTATGAACATTTTACTAATGGAAGCCTCGTTCACTCAACTGTGTGCTTTACAAGTCAAGAACTGTCTTGCTCACTCAGTACCTCTAGCACCGAGCACTGTGTCGCCTAGAATCTCAATTATTGATGAATAAATGAATGAATGAGTGAATGAATGGCCAGCACTTCTAGCACAGGAATTTTGGTCCTCTCAGTCTAGGAGGCTGAACAGTTAGAAAGAAGCAAGGCATGGACCTACCTTGATAGCAAAGTTGGCAAAACCCAGGCCGAGCTGTCGACAGACCACCATGGCTTCATTGAGCCCCCAGTGGTCACTGCACACAGCCCCCCAGCGTTGGACCCCATTCATGTCCACTTGCACTTCCACTATGCCCTCCTCGCGGCTTCTTCCACCTGCCAAGCGGACCTGCAGTGGTCACAGGTGTGTGAGGGTCATGGCATCCTGGGGTGGGAAGAACTCAAGATCGCCAGCCTGGAGACCTGCGAGGCCAACTCATGGTGTGGCCCAGACCACACCACACACTCCCCAGCCTGGGGCTGTCTCCTCTGTAAACTGGGGATGGAATATCAGATAATCCTTAATGGCCCTACCTGCTAGAAAAATCTAACTCAAAGTGCTGATGCCGGGCTTCCTGCCCTGGAACTTGCCCTCCTAGTACCTAAAATCCTACCATTAGTGATGGCTTACAATTTGCAAAGGGCTTTCATGTCTACCACCTCATTCACAGTGGCCCATGAGAGAAGTAACCCCACAGTCCTCACAAGGACTGATCCATTCCACACAGCCCCTTGTGCCACTCCCCCGTTTGACAGCCTGTGGCCCTCACTGCAGGAACCTTCTCTGAGTGTCTGGGGCAGTCTGTACTCTTGCAGAGCCTCCGTGTATCCCTCTGACATCTCTGGGCTCCCGGGGTAGGTAGACCCACATGGCAGGGGCACTGGGCCCCATCTCCTGAGCTCCTCCCTGCTGTCCATGCTCGGCCTGAACTCACCTGATTCTGGAAGCCCATATCCGGTGTGTTGCACCTGACAGCAGCATCATTCTCGTGTTGACAGCCATTCTGGGGCCCTTCCAGGGCAAGGCAGTCCCTGAGGCTCCGCTCATGACCCCTGCAGCGCACCTCACTCAGGTGGATGGGGCCCAGGCCTAGGGAACAGGTGCTGTGTGAGTTCAGTTCTGCCTCTGTGACCCCACGCCTGAGGCTTCCCCTCTACAGCTGGCTAGAACTCATGGCCACCAAAGAAGAGCCGGTGGCCCTACAGTCCCTCCCTCCCACCCCACTGTGGCTCCCTCACTTACCTTGGCCCAGCTGGGCCCCAAACAAGGCTTCGCGTGCAGAGCCAAAGCCAAGCTGGCGACATACAACACTGGCAGAGATGAGGTTCCACCGGTGGTCACAGATGGTGCCCCACTGGCGGTTCACAAGTACTTCCACCCGGCCCTCACCCACCTGGGCCCCAGAGCGCAGGCGCAGCTTCAGCTCCTGTTGGAGGGGAGGCGCCGGGAAGCTGAGCCAGAGGGCCTGCAGTCACACAGGAGACCCAGGGCAGGCTCCATCTAAGCGCCTGGGTCTGCCGCTGGCTCCTGCTCACTATCGCCACAAGTAATCAGTGTTTCTGGACCACGACTCCAGCCAGAAATCACCCCAAAACCTCATCGAGGAGGCATTCTTGGTGTTGTGCTAGTGACGCCTTACTAACACTTGCTCCTCAACTCTGTAACAAAGGGCCAGCCTCAGGTTTAAAGCCATCAGCCCTAATGGCTGTAGTTGCTATTTACTGGTTTTTATGGTTACCATCTATTGATGGCAAGGGCTGCCACCTGCCATTTATGGTAGGATTATAAGTGATTCCTTTGAAACAGATCCCAAGTGTCCACCATCCTGTGAGTGGCTCCTTTTCCTAGTCTGGTTCCTGTCTTCTCACCACAAGGCAGGCCCCTGCTGAGAGCAGGCCCCCTTGGTGCTCACCTCTGCCCGGGGCTCCTTGCGCTGGGGCTTCCCCTTTGTGGAGTAGAAGCGGGGCCCTGGCACACAGCTGACGACAGCGTGCATGCCGCCTGGGCAGGCTGGCCTGAGTTTGCCACGGCCTGGAGCCACCTGCACCTGGCAGTTGGCCAGGTGGGGCTCTGTCCCCAGACAGCTGACCCGGTGGATCCAGAAGGAGTTCTTACTCGCCAGGCTCTTCAACCTGGAAGACAAGGGAATTGTTAGTAGAGGATGCTCCAGGAGGCCAAGGGGAGGCAGCGGGGAGAAGAAAGCCCTCGGGTTGCACCCTCTGCACCCTTCCCAGTGCTGCTCCTCACCTAGACTTGGGATCCTTCATCTTCGCATCCCAGACTTTCCTGTGGTTGGAGAAAGGAGATAGAGGTGTGGGGGAGGGGACACAGAATCCCACTGGCGGCTAGTTCCTCAGTGTTGCCCTTAAATTTGCCCTGGACTTCATAGTCTGCAAACTTGTTCACAAACTGCATTTCACGGCTGAGTTTCTCACCAGCCTGCTAAGGGCCACCTCACAGTGACGATCCCCATGTGACGGGCGGGCTGGCACGTTCCCTCTGCCTGTCCCAATGTGAAGTGTCTATCATACTGGAGCTGCCCCAGTCCTGATGAAGGGTGACCTTGTGGGAGCACCCTGAGGAAAGGCACCTGGGGAAGGGTCCTCTGGGGACAGGTGGAAGATGAAGGCCTTGCTGGCTGGGGGTGCTGCGACCCAGGGACACTCAGGCTATAATCAGGGCGGCCTTCCTGGTGGCAGGTGAGTCAGCAGAGCCCACAGTGCAATTACTAGGCAAGGCAGCAGGGAGCCAGGGACTCACATCCCCATCATCCCCAGAGACGGAGCCACGTGCCTGCCTGCCACCATTTCACCCTTTGGGTCAGGGTCATATAAGCCAGAAATATAAGGAATTTGCAACTGCATCAATGTCACGTGACAAACTGGGGTAGCTGACCAGAGGTGCTGCGGGAGATTTTTCTCCACAAGAAACACAGAAAGCTTGCATGAACATGGAGCCAGTGGGACTGGGACTGTGGTTATTTATTGGGTGATGCAATCTGTTGTGATAGTTCAGTTACATTTCTTTTTCTTTTCTTTGCAATATTGGGGGTGGAACTTGGGACCTTGCACTTCCCAGGCAGGTGCCTAAGCCGCTGAGCTATATCCCCGGCCCTCATCACATTTCTGACAGAATATTTTTATGTCTCCTTTCCCCAAACTGGCCCCAGCCCATGTCTTAACTGGATCCTAGTTGAGGAAATTCACTGCAAAGTTGAGCTAACTCATAGCGGAATGGATGTCTGAGGTCCAGGTGCGTGGGCCAAAGTTCCAAAGCTAGTTACTGGTGCAGCTGAGGTCAGAAGGCATTTTTCCTGCTTTTGTGAGCAATGGTGTACACCTCTTTGGTGACATCTATCTTTCAACCAAGGATTTTACACTGAGCTGTTGTCATTGTTGGGGTATTCTGTACCAGTGTATTCCTTCCATGTGATTGGTAAATACAAATTTGTTTCTGATCACTTCTAGGTATTCCTCTGGAGTTTAAAGCTCATTCTTATGTACTCTTAACTCTTCTGAGAGACCAGTAACCCAAGAACTCCAGGCACTTTCCTCAGCTGGGCTGTTTCCCTTCTGAAAAAGATTTTTTTTCTTTTTTTGGCTGGCTCAGGGGGCCTTAAGGGCAGGCCTGGTATGGCATGTGGAGCTGAGGATTGAACTGCTGTCCCCTGCACCTGACTGGATTTGCCCAAGCAGCAGCTTAAACAACTGAGCTAACCCGCAAGCCCCCTTTTTGGCTGTTTCCCTTCTGATCCCAACCTGTGCAAATCTCCTGCTGTGGACAGTCTCCCCTATCTCTCCTCCAGCAGTCACAGACACCTGCAAGGTCCCACACCACACACAGATACACACACACACACACACACACACACACTCAAATCTCACACTTGTGCACACATTACTCATGTACTCAGACACTGTATGCATACATTCATACAGTCCTCTCACCCTACCTCTCCCCCTCCCTCCCTCAGTCCTTTCTTGCCTTCTTCTCTCCCTTTCTCCTTCTGTCCCTCCCTCTTTTGTCTGTCTCTGCCTCCCTCCCCCTCTGTCTCCCCCCCCATAGCTCCAGGATCCCCCCACCCTCCTACCTGTAGTAGTAGCTGTTGACAGGCACTTGGCTGGGGAAGCCCAGCATCCCACACACCACCCTGCTGTTGTTCATGGTCCAGCCCTGGTCACACACTTGTCTCCAGTGGCCCTCGTATCGCACCTCCACAGCACCCTCGATCACTGGGATGTGGCGCTTGGCGCTGGCCAGGATGGGTTTGAGCCGCACCTCCTCCAGCCTCCGGCCCTGCAGTGTGCATAGGAACCATGGGCCTTGTCCCACTGAGCATCCCAGAGATGCTGCACATCTTCACCAAGGAAGCCCCTGGCTCAGAGCTCTTCCAGAGCTTCCCCAGACCCTCACTGCTCAGGCCAGGAAGCCAAGCCGTTAAGAGCAGAAGGCATTTGCTAAAGGTCACAGAGTGAGTAGGACACGAAACCTTTATGTCTAGTCTTTTGGGCTCATCTGGAGCTTATGAAACTGGAGAGAAAGAGGTAGACCTGCGCCTCCCTGCCCTCAGGGCCAGAGCTCTTGGGGTTTGGGAGTCTTCTGCTGGGTACTAAAGAGCCTTCCTCAAGCCACCCTGGGGGGCGCCGCTGAGATGGCACAGGACAGCTGCTTGAGACCGCCAGCAGGACTCTTTGGCCTGCAAGCCTTGCCACCCTAGACCCAGGGAGCCCCCATGGTGGCCTGTGGCACTCGGTGGACTAGGGCCAGCTGTCCTCAGACAGAAGGTACCCAGCAGCAGCGAGTGGGAGCCACAGCCTTGCCCTGCCCACTCCTGTTGTTTGGTTTGGGCTGTTTTTAGCTGAGGGTTGTTTGTGCTGGGAAGAGACAGCAATTGTGGCCAGGCCTGTGGATGAAGCAGCCCCCTTCGCCTGTCCCTCCCTCATGGGGAGCAGCTTCTATGATCCTAGCAGGCCCGGCCTCTGATCTCCTGGCCTGTCTTGCATCAAGCTGGGATCCTCTCTCTGTGTGCACCTGCCCTGGGCCAGAGCCCAGGGATGCTGCTCAGTCCATCCTGGTCCTAGTTCTCTTCCTCCAAGCTCATTATCCAGGAGGATCTCTCTACCATGTGCTGCTTCGCTCAGGCCAGAACCTGGCCAGCCTCCTCACCTGGGGCCCCAGGGCATTGGAGACCCTCTCTGAGAGGAAGCCACGCTGGCGCTGGGGGTGGCACACCACCCCAACGTCTTCCGAGTGGCTGCAATCACTGACTCCCCAGCCATTAGACTTGCACTGGTCGAGCGTGCTCTCGGTGCCCAGGCAGCGTACGTTGTCCAGCCAGATGGGCCCTGTGGAGGAAGGGGCGGTCAGTGCTCAGGAATGGACACAGAAAGGCAGGTGACAGCTCTGCGCTTGGTTATGATCCCACTTATCAAGTCTCTTCTACATGCTGAGTGGAAAGTAGGGCAAGAGAGGAGTGGACTCCGCAGGGCTTTAGTGTCCACCATCCTGCCTCCAGCTGCCTCTTGGCAGGTCCATAGAACTGGTTTTGGGAAAGTGTCGGGTAGGTCTATGAACTAGACATACATGTTCTCTCATTCCCTAGTCAGTCTTTTCTCAGTTCCTTCTGTGTGCCAATCGCTATGTCCAAGGAACTTAAAGAGTTTAGTTATGGTGATGTGATGGCCCCATTGTAAGAGAGAATGGGACGGTCAGAATGGGGGTCCTCTACAGCTGGGATATTCAAGAAGGCCCTCATGAGGGAGGCCATTTGAGCTAGGCATTAAAGGGTAGTGGACAGTGGGCACATGCTGTTGGAGCCTCAGTGGGCCTACCCCTTGAGGGAATTTAGCTGGCATCTTACCATCCTGGGGAACAGCACCATCACTCACCCGTCCCTTGGCCGTACTTGGCACTGTGTGCCCAGGTCAAGGCAGACTCAAATCCCAGCTGGCGGCAGGCTACCATGGCCTCCTGGAGAGCGAAGTCGTCATCACACACGGTGCCCCACTGGCCCTGGTGGAGGACCTCCAGGCGGCCTTCCTCCGGCCTGCTCCCTGGGCCCACCAGCCGGAGCTTCTTAGCGCCCAGCGACTGCAACCTATTGAGAGGGGGCTGGCCTAGCAGCAGCAGGAACAGAGAGAGGGTGGCTGGTGGGTACCACATCATGATGACTTCAGGGGCACCTGGGAAATGAGTAGACAAAGATCACCACCTGTACTCCTGACCTTAGGTTCTTCAGTGATGCATAGGAGGGTAGAGAAGAAGGGGTTCATGCTTTAAGAAGTGGGGGCACCTTCAGAGGTATCTTCAGGTCAGGAATATCTATCCCAGGGCTATTGCTCTTTCCTGCCTTTTAATATTCCCAATACACTGAGCAAAATGTAAAATGCCACCTCCACATACAAGGCGCACAGAATGCGGGGACAGAAAGAGTTATTAAGGAGTCAAGATCTCTCTACTCATTTGTTCTGTGGCTTGGCCAACTCTATTAAACTCTGTTGACCCTAATTTCTTATTTCTAAACTGAAGAGGCTGAGCCCAATATGCTCTAATATCTCCAGCTAGATGTAAGATTCACGCGTTAAGGTAACAAGCACTTTTGGAATGCTGTACCTGCCTCACTCAGTTCTTAGGCAGGGTGCTATGACCCAGAAAGGATCATAATATCACCCCTATATTCAATGATACAGAGAAGAGAAATCAGGAAAGACTTTCAAAGAAGAGAATTTTAACGTAGCCCTTGTTGGATGAATAAGAGTTTTTCTGGGTGGAGAAAGGGGCACTAAAGGTAGAGAGATTCAGAGAGTAAAGGAGGCAAGAGAGAAAGGTGCATTTGTACAAGAGCAGGGAGTACCCATCTTTTGGCCCTGCTACAGTGTTATCGGCTTGGAGGGGAAAGAGAAAGGGGGCAACTAACCCAGATGATCAAGGGCTCTACACGTACTCGTGCGTACCCCCTGGATGACGAGCCTGGTGGAGATGTCAGAGACCCCTGGAGCCACCATTCCTGATGCTTCTCCAACCAGGCTCCTATGCTGATAGGGCCCCAAGGGCCCCTGGAACAGTGGATGAAGGTTGGGTCCCCGGCCTCCTTACAAGTGCTTATGTCTTTTGGGAGCCTCTTGCACAGCCACTATTGCTCTTGGGGATCACTCGAGACTCACTCAGCCTGAGCAGGGAGGGCCTCAGACCCCTGCCACCCTTGGCCCACAACTGATACCCAGTTGAGAACCACTTCTTAGTCCTCTGGTACTCAACAGAGAGCTGGGGCTGGAAGTGTGCCAGGTGGGCTTAGGGAGGGATGTGCCATTGGAGTAGTAACTTTGTGTTTGTCTCCAAAGTCCAGAATAGTGTGGGACAGTGGGTGGCACTCAGAAATATTTATGTTTGCATGGCTGGGAGGTGCTATGACACAGCACTGGAGTACAGACTAGACAGTTAGGCTGCCTGGATTCAAGTTCCATTTCCCCTTTAGTATCCAGGTGACTTGGGGGCAACTTCTCATGGCCCTAATGTGTCCCTCTATAAACCGGAATGATAATGGGATATACTGCATGAGATTTTTGTGAAGATTCATGATTGAATACATGCTAAGCCCTGAGGAGAGCACGCTCTTGATAACAGAACTATTATTAACATCACTGTAACAGCTGCGACAGAACTATTGGATCTCATTGGTCTCACCCCTTTTTTACAAAGAAGGAAATGGAAACCACATCTCTCAGCTGCCAGGTCCTGGTACCCATCTCTGCGAGTCCACCTGTCCCCTCCATTCGCACAGCCGAGGCCAGATCCCCATCCCTCTCCAGGTTGGCTATTATGAATAGAATCCTTCCACAGTTTCCCTCCTCTGAGCTTCCCTGAGGGGGAGTAGACAGCAGGGACAAGTCATACCGAAGTCCCTATGTGAGGAAACATTCCCCACGTGACAAGAGAGGGTCAGAAAGATTGGGCTCAGGGCCTTCAGTATTGAACCCAGTATCACACCGAGTCTGGGCTGAGGGATAACTTACCTCCCGCACCACTCCTGGGATTCTACCACCAAACCACTGTGTGTCTGGAGTGGTGTTTTCCTCTCCCTGATCTCCAGCTGGGACATCTATAAAATGAGGGGTGGGCCCCATATTCTAACGGGGCCCAGGGTGGCTGGCAGATCTGGTGTTTGTCCTGTGGATGAGGTGCCCACAGCTTGGAGGAGGTCTTATCAGAGGCTACGGACAGTGCCAGGCCAGCCAGCTGTCTGTCTAGAGAAGGAAGGTTTCTGCTGCAGGACCCTGAGTTCTGGGCGGGGACAGCTCCCTGCCACACAAGCTACCCAGAGATGAATGAGTGACAGCAGAATCAAGGGCCAGATGCAAGGTTGGTTGTCTTCTCAGCTCCTTCCAACACACACACACACGCACACACACACCCCACACGCACACACACGCATGTACACACACACATGCACACCCACCCACACGCACGCACACACCCACACACACCCACACACACATAACCATTGCAGGGCCCCTGTAGCTTGTGCTCACACTAAACTTAATATAACTATTTCCTGCACATAGTCTTCACTTCCCAGCCTTAAGGCTTTGCTCTTGTTGCTGCTCCTATTTGGAGTGTCCTTTCCCTCTACCTCCTACCCATCCTTCAACACTCAGCTCCAGAGCTGCTCCTTCCCCTGAGCTCTCCCTGTCCCCCACCTTCCTAGCACTCTAACTCCACAAACAGCCCCTTTATGTCTGGTCCCCCACGTGAGCACAGAGAAGAGGACTAGGCTGAGATCAGCCCTTAGAGCAGGAGACAGCCTTAACAGCAGTGCTTCCCAAGCAAGGGAAACAGACAGGCGAAGGAGATGGGGAGAAGGAAAAAGGAAGCTGAACTTTTAAAAATATTTATTTAATATTTATCTCCATTTTGCAGATGAGAAGATGAGGCCCCTGAGTGAAACACCTCGCCCAGTCAGGTAGCAAGGCTAGATAGAAGTCAGGTTGTCCAAACTGCCAGAGCTGGGCATTAGAGAGGGAGGAGGGAAGGTGGCAAGGAGCTAGCTCAGGGAAACTGCGCCCTGTTGCTGGTTGATTTATGACCCAGGCTGTGGTGTGGTACAAGAGCACTGGGGTGGGTGCCAGCAAGAGTGCCAGGAGTGACAGATCCAGGACACCGCCGCTCCAGGTGCTGCTGGGGAGCCCTGCCACAGGCGGGGCCTGGCCAGGAAGAGAGGCCTGGAAGATGGCAAGTGCCCAAGGGTAGCCAGAGAGGGCCGGAGAGCACCGTCCTGGGTCACCAGCTCTGGGATCACTCCCGGCCCCTTCTCTGCAGCTCTCTGGGAGTGGGGCTTCCTCCCTAAGCCCTGTACCTTCCCTGGGAGCGTGGGCTGTGTGGGCCTCACGCAGTGCCAGACTGGGCACCTGTGGGGTTGGGGGTCTGAAGTCCTCTGCACCCTCTTTTTCTGCCACCCGTTCCCTCGCGCCCCCAGCCCCTCAGCTCTGGACTGGTTACTTGGAGACTCCAACTCTGCCTTGGCTCTTAGTTCTCCAAGTCTCAGGAGACCCACTTTGCCCAGTTCCCTCCCTGCTGCCTGGGCCAGGAGGCAGAGAAACGGTTACCACAGTGTTCACGAATCAGACACGCAGGCACCCCAGGGGCCAGGGCGCAACACCCTCGCGGGCCTCCCGCCAACCTCCCCAACTTGGTCACTGTCTAAGTGGGAAAAGACTGCAAGCGAGTCCCTGGGGCTAAGAGCCACTGGCCTCGGGACGCCATCCTTCCCAGTCCCCAGCCTCCAGGAACTCCTAGAAGCCTGCAGATCCAGAGCGGCAGGACAGAAGCAGAGCACAGCAAGAGGCAGATGGGGCGAGGGCCGGGCGGGGCCGGCGGGAGCTCACCAGCTGGGTCGCGGGCGGTCGCGGCTGGGCCGGCGGCAAGCGGCGCTAGCGGCCTCCCGGAGCGCCCAGGGGGCTTTTTATGCACCCTCCGCCGGCCCCGG